TTTTTTAAGTCCAATGAACACTAATACCTAATCATCATGAAAATGCCCATGTTTTGTATTGTGTGAAAAAATTGTTGCTTGAATGGAAATAACTTGTTCAAAAGACTTATTAATAACTAGTAAGCTGAAAGAGGCTGTGGGACGAGTATAGAGAATTAGAGGTGTTTTTATAGCAGAACTAATCTGGGGATCATTTAGAAACCTAATTTCTTGCTGCTTTTCGGTAGAGCATATGAAAATCGGTGTATGCAGATTGAAATGAGGGTTTGATATTTTCCCATATAAAGTTTCATATTAATATTTAAGTGAATCTGTTCCTTTTGAGAATATTTGCTTACGGTTTCTACAAACATTCTTTATTGCACCAAATTAAATACAACGTATCGCACCTTGACTTATGCACTCAGTGCCTTGCACTAGTAAAGCAAATACCAAAATGATGACCACTACACTTCATTTTGACAGGGAATTTCACAGAAACTCAATTATGCATCATGCTCGGACGGCAGCCTCAACAGCTCCTGGGTTAGAGCCCACAGCAAGGCTCGAGCCCAGGCCTTGCGCACCAAATTGCTGCACTGACCAAGAGCCATTAACTGGGCCATTCAACATGTCCCTCTTAGAAGGAGGCTCTTGAAGAATAGCGCCAGACAAGACTAGCTGACAGATTAGAACCCCTCTTTTTTTCATCTTCGGATAACCAAATTGATCTAAAATGTCCGTAGATTGAGTATAAATTTGCCTGTAATTAGGTATTCAACTAAATTGTTATACTCGCTAGGCAAGTCTCAATCATGCTCTATAAAAGTAAGTCAGCAATCGTATTGGATTCAGTATTTTGCTTTCCATCAAGTGTGAGCTTGCCTCCAATCTTCTTTATATCATGCGCAACAGTCAACAAATTATTTTAAACTTCGGAGCTTATAACTATTGGATATTATGACACTAATTTCCAGAAATAATAGATACTAATTGCGTGACTCAATCATGTATGCAATTTTCTCAATGAGGTCACCAGAAGAATTGCGTGCAAATGCTTAATTTTGGAGTTGGCCACACAGCGCCAGGATAGATCCTCTTCTCTAAAGCGACAGGGCTGATGCAATGCAGCCACGACCAGTGGTTTACAAATTTCGCCCGGCGCATACCCAAGTGGTTGATTGTCATGCAATCCTTTAGGTTCTCTAGCCGATATATTTTCATTTTACGATACATATTTGTAATTAGGCCAGTGATTTTAATAACTGATTAAAGGTATCGCACAGTTCACATCAGCGCTTCATGCCCTTGGAGATGGATTCTTGAAATGTTTTTTACAAGCCTAAGCATGTCATAGGTGCGCTTGACATGAGGAATTGAGAATCCTTTTATTAAAGAGGTCCGATGCTATTAAGGAAAAGAACGATAAAGCAGACATTTTTTGTCCAGAATTAATTATACGAAATTATTTTCGAAAGATTGCTCGGGGTTACTTTTCGGCTCCTCCACCGGAGGCTAACTAGTACAAACTTAACAATAACGGATTAGTCAACTCAATCAATAAGTTAGCTATTCT